ATAAAAAGAGTACTGGGGTGGGGGGGTGGAAATAAGAGAACTGAGTTCTAGTCCCAAGAATTCCATTGATAAATTTGCAAAAATCACTTAACTTCATTCTGCCTCAGTTTTCTTACCTCTAAGATGATTGGAGTGGAAGGAAATGCAATCAAGGGGCTCTTGAAACAGACAGAGTCTATGATTCTGTGTCTCATCAGAAATCAACTCAGTGTGTCAGTGATGAGTTTGGCCACTTGAACTATTATGGCCTTTTTTTCCCCCATTGTGTTTAAAATACCAATTCAGTGAATAATTCTAGATTCTCTAACAGACTTTTAACTAGAACTTTATGAGATACCAGAACCGTGTTGTCTTCCTGTGCTTCTTTTCCCTATGAGTTCAGGCAACCATACTGCTACTTGCCTGAACCCAGCTGTCATGAAATCAGGAGCCGTGCCTAATTCAGTAAAAGTGTTTCCTGATTGACTGGAAAAAAAAAAAAAAACCCTAGGTTATTGTGTATTATATTTTCTACATAAACATTAGCCAAGTATATTTTTCAGATAGTTTTCTTCATTATATATAATATATCATACATTAAAATATATGTTATGTGTGTGGTACTCATTGGTAATCCTTTCTAAATTGTCATTTGTCCTGAAGAGGAGTTAGATTTTATTCCACATAGGACTTTCTCCATCAGATGGTTTATTCATTACTCCAGTTTTAGCCAGAGAATGTTTCTCCAACCTTGATGTGTTTGAATTCATGAACATGCTATACTATATTTGAAATGTTAGTCTTTTTAGGTTGCACTTTTGACGTTGTATTGAGACAAGGGAACTGGTGGGATATGCTTTATTCTTTGGCTGCTACCTAAAGAGAATGGTTTTTTCTTTCCACCTTTTTTGTAGGGGTTAAGTAAAGTCTAAAATTGCATAAATCTTCTAAAAGTCTGGGGAGATTGTTATGGAAATAAATAGAAGCCCCAGCACCTCCCCTGTAACCATTTCAGGTATAATCAATTACATGTAAAGTCTTCTCTGTGTCTCTTAAGAATCTGATTCAACAGACAGTCATGTTGAACATGTTCTGTGGAATAGAACAGTGTGTTGCCTATGGAGGGGCCGAATCCTTGAGTACATGCCAGGATTCAGCTATAAAAATAGTATTTTTAGTAAATAAACATCTGTGAGGGGAAAAGCAAGACTTTGTGAAATAAATCAGTGGTTCCTTTTATTTTTCCAGAGACAAAAATACTTAACTTTCATGAGAAAATGAAGACAGCATCTCCTAGTCCCTCTGGATTTGGTCAGTTCCACCTCCCAGGAAGCTGTGGGGTTTTTCTTCAATGAGTGGGGCTCAGCCCTGGCCTAGGTTCTCAGCACACTGAATCAGCTCTAGAAAACTTGGAACTTCAGCAATAGCAAACAACAAGAAAAAGGTTTCTCTTTGCCGTTAGGATTTTTGCTTCCCAGATGCAATTATTCTTAATGATTTCATGACCGTGAGCCCTAATATCTAGTTATATAGCCAGTGTTTGTGATAGTGGGGGTGGCCACAGTAGAAAGAGGCCTGTCTGGACCTATGAGCCCTGCCATTTGCTCAGTGAACAACCTTGCACAGACCTCTTCTCTCTGAACCTCTGTTTCTTCCACCTGTAAATATTTCCTCCTCAGGCTTGTAAAGCACAGTATACGATTGCATGAGCATATTGAGCGTATTTTATAAACTGTAAAGCTTTACACACATTTGAAGTATTATCATATTAATCCTTCCAACCATATATTCTATCTTCTATTGTGAGCAAAAGGCAGATTTCCCCAGCAGGCGAGAGGACAAGACAATTTTTGTCCTGACTCATAGAGACAATGTAGATTTAATTATCCTCTCCTATGGCCCTGTAGATTAGCCACAGGTGTGCTGCTGATATCGCCATATCCTTACACACACGTTTGTGTTGCTTCCTTGAGTTCAAGTCGAGAGAAGCTGGAAAGTTAGAATTATATCCATTTGATACCAACTTGGTGTTTCAATCTCTTTCTCTCTCTCTCTCACACATACACACACACACAAACTCTTCCTTTTCAACATATTGTCCAATGTAATATTTCAGGAGGATAGGGACTTTGCCCATTACATCTACGGCACCTAGCATGGTGCCTTATGCAAAGTAGTCTCTTAATAATTTTTGAATCCGTTTGAATGGTGTCTGCCTAAGTACTTGCAAAGCACTTTGATGTATTTTCTTTGAAAAGTGTGTTAATTATTTGAAAATACGTTTACCTCTTAAAAACCACATTGGCACATTAAATGTCCTGTCTTGGGGTTGTTTTCTTAAATTTAGGCTAAGAGCTCACCACCGTATATACCAGCGGTATAAAAGCTTCCATTTCTCCATATGATATTACCATCTTTGAGTGATTCAAAATGTACTTACACTGCATGTGTAGTAAAATATTTTTAAAATTCTAGTTTGTACAATAACTTAAGGCACAGTATGACTTTAAAAAATTGATATGACATGGAATCAAAAACTAAATTTGCACATTTTTTATAGTACAGGATCATTAGAAAGATTGTCTTTCATAGACACTATCACTTAGATCTAGAAAAGGGAACAGAGGGAAGACTGAGGTGTCAGGATGAGGAACATGAACAGTGACCCACAGTGGTATTGTGATATTTGGAGCCGCTGGCTTAGGGAGTGAGCTCAACCTGGCAAGAGCTTTAAAACATATTTCATTCATGGGCCAGCCCCGTGGCTCACTTGGGAGAGTGCAGTGCTGATAGTGCTGAGGCTGCGAGTTCGGATCCTATATAGGGATGGCTGGTGCCCCCGTGCTGAGGGTTGCGATCCCTTTACCGGTGAGGAAAAAAAAAGAAAAAAAAACATATTCCATTCAGACTTCAGAATTTTCACTGCCACGTATTTATCAAGGTTGGCTTCCCCAATGCACACCCTTACCCCCCATGTTAGCCATTCTTGCTTTTTCCTGTTGACTCCCATACCATGGATATGAAAAAGACAGTACCTGCCAAGGCCTGATATAATCCAAGTTTCTACACAAACACACATTACCGTAAAATTAAACAAATGAGAGAGCATCATGGAAAGGCAGCAGTATATTTTCATCATATTAGTTAGTGGTACCCAATTCTCTTTAGGTCCACCTTGCTTTAGCGTTATTAAATGTGATAGCTGAAAGGGAATTTGGAAATTATTTCATTTCCACCTCCTCACTTCGCAGGTGAGTAAATGGAGGTGTACAACAGCTAAATGACTTACCCAAATTATATAGCTGGATGGTGGCAGCAAAAGGACTTGAACCCAGTTTCTCCCACTTTGGGGTGAACCAGTACATATTTTTCAGTCAGTCAAGAAGTAGCCATTTGGTACCCACCACATGTCTGATTATGCTATGTGCCTTAAAAAAAAAAATAGTCATAAAATGTAGATGTTTTATGTGGCATTGCAGTTCTTTAGAAAGAAAAAATGAATTATAAATGCATGCAAGAAAGACCAAAGGGTTAATCAGAAAAGAAATAATTTTGACATAAAATGATCTCTTTTTTTTTTTCCACTGTAAGCTCAAAGAGAATTGTAGCAATACAGGTTGAGCAATTTTCTTTTTTATGAATCTCGTGCTCAATTTATGAAAGCCATTTTGCAACCCATTTACATGCAGTAAACCTTTGCTTTAAGGTTCTGTCATTTACCTTGATCATGATTATTTATAGTCCTTTTAGAAAAGGCCCTTTACTGGTTGAGCTCACAAGCACAGCACTGCCACCAGGCAGTTTTCTACGGTGCCTTTTAAGTCATGGTAGTAAGCTGAGACATGGCCAGTCTTGTAGCTGGCTGTGAGGCACAGGGGTGTTGTGTAATGGAAAGAAAACTCTTTGGAATTAGGAGTCTTGGATTCAAAACCAACTCTGCGCTCTTGCTATGTAAACCCGGCCGTAAATGCTCCTTTAGTGTTAGTTTGTTTTCTTGTAGAAACAGAATGACACTTTCATCAGAGACTGTCAAGTAGAGCTTAACTGAGGTACTTTGTGTGCAAGTTACAGTGTCAGTTATAAAATGTATTGTTTTATGAACTGAGTGTCTATAATATGAATTACTATAAATCACTGAAAAAGGAATGGTATGTCTAAGGTAAAATATTTGTTGATCACCTACTGTTTCTCCTACTGTCATCTATACAAGAATGTGAACCGAGAGCAGGGACCTTTATTCTTGGCAAATAGTAGGCACTGAATTAAGTATTTGCTGTATTAATTGAATAAATAGAGTTTCTAGATGAAAGTCACTGCTAGGCATGACGTAGAATACAAGACAAATAATACAACATCCCAAGCATCAAGGGTGTATAATTAAGATGGCTAGCCACAAATGCACCAAGTGAGGCGAGTTGTGGTTCCACATGGGAGGAAAAGGCATAGTGTAAATAGTGTGTCTGAAACCCTCACCAGAGGATTGATACAGCAGGAACCTTTCCTTCCTGATGCTGGGTGGGCTTATCTACCTCCAGCCACACTGCCCACCCATGTGCTCTTTGTATTCACCAAGGTCCCGGCAGGACTAGATGCCTACTCTGAAGGGTTTAACTTGAAATGCATATAACAAAAGGGATTATAGAAATGTGAGCAGAATTATCAGAACCAAGAAGGGGTGGCAGGGCACCCAGAGACAAGCAACAGCAGGAAAGCGCCTAGAGGCAGAGGTCAGGCGGGAAATGACAGCTGGGGCTAGGCACCGCAAGACTCCTTGTCAACACACAAGTCCAAGTGGAGCTGATGAAAGTCCTTGGGCAACTGTCAGATCAAAGTCAGCAGGAATAACAAGGGTTCCTGTGCATTTGGTATAGACACTTTATGCGGGGTTTTGCTTGAGCGCCCACTGGAGAAATTTTGTCAGTCTAGAAGGCTGCTTTCTGAAGCTGTCATTCTGTGCCTTTGTAAGTAGTACAGTGAAATGATTGTGAAATGGCTAAATGTCTTCCTTGACTCCTCGGCACTTACCACGCACAGCCTTCTCAAGGTACAGAACAGGAGAAACTGGATTATGCCCTCAACAATAAGAGGCGAGTCGTCCGCCTGGTTCTACAGTGGGCCGCTGTGTATGGAGACCTCCTGCAAGAGGACGATGTGGCTATGGCTTTCCTGGAGGTATGCGGGGTCATTTCTTCCAAGAAAACACCTTTTTTCTACAATACAGGGACCTACCCATAGGCATCACAGCTTCCTCGGAGAGACTGTAATTGCAAATTCTAGACGTTAACATGTTCATTCATCGAAGGGTACTATTTAAAAAAGTAAAGAAAAACATCATCCATAATCCTGCCACTCTAATTCAATAACTAATAGCATTTTAGTCTGGTCTCTTTTTCTTTATATGTTTTACATGGTTGTAATCACATAGTACCTATCACTTGGCAGGCTGCTTTTTCCACTTTATATAAGGATTTTTCTATGTCAGCACAGTCTTTGTAATAAAAATTTCTAATGATCATTGAGTAGCTATGCCACAGATATATTTATTTGTTCCCATGTTGTTGAATATTTACACCATTTCCAGTTTCTACCTTCCTAGAATAATAGTGCAGTGAATATTTTTGTACAAATAGATCTGTCCTTGGCTAAGTTCCTAGAAGTGGGATTACTAGATCAAATAAGAGGTATTTTTTGAGTAGAGCGAAGCAGGTAATTTTATTGAGGAATTACTAGAACAGGAAGGGTAGACCGTGGAGGTAGTTCATAAACACTGCTTTAAGCTTAACTTCTTCCCTTTTCCTTCTAATGGCTCTAGCCCCATATTACAGCATTGATCCTGGCATTTAACCCTTAATCACTCTTCCAAAACTTAGATGAGGACTTTTCTTATGAGCAGGCAAGAGGCAATATCACTTCTATTTCAAACTTTATCAGTCTGTTCTAAAATGTGTGTTCTAAAATGAATTATCCAGAAGAAACGTACAGCCTCTCTCCTTTTAAATTGTATCGTTTCACAAGTGGAGGTGTGAGGCAGAGAGGAAAGATGGACCATGAAAGTCCCTCAAGGCTGTGGAATGAAAATATAGGGAAAAATAGTAGCTTGGGATCATACATTGAGTTATGGTCTCTCCCCAATGAACACAGGACCATTTTGTAGAGGAGCCAAAGTGGTGTGAAGCTGGCTATGCCATAGTTCTCATCTTCTCCTGTGGAAGCCACTGCTCCTAGCAAAGCAGGGTGCTGCTGCATGGTCAGGACAGTTCCCAGGAAGTCAGCAAAGAGTCCTGAGTTGGTGTCACAAACTCAGCATAAATTCAGTACAGTGCTGAAGACCATGCCTGATTTTCCCATCAACAATTAACCACAACGTGTGGTAAATATTAAGTAAACAAATAATACTAAAATAATATTTTAAATGAGTATTAATGTTTCTCTGAATAAAAATATTGAAGAAAAAAGTGCTCTTGATGACTGTAAGCCTATAAGATGACTCATTCCAAGACCTTGCATTCCATCACCTTTTATATTAGTTTCATTTGTAATTTTTTTAATTTGAATTTTTTATTGTGGTAAAATATATCTAATGTAAAATTTGCCATTTTAGCCATTTGTAAGTATACAGTTTAGTGGCACTTGTGTTACTCACAATGTTATATTGTCATCACTGCTATCTATTTCCAAAACTTTTTCTCATGCAATTTTGAATTTAGACACATTTTAACATTTTCTTCTTTTTTTTTCCTCCAGTCCATGAAATCATGGTCTGGAGATGACAGCAAAGCAAATGACATAGGGACCCATCTTTATTGCTCTTTACAGAAGTGTGCATCCTTTGCAGTTCTTGTTAAAAGCCTGTGACTTTTGCCAATTACAGGAGTTTTATGTGTCTGTATCAGATGATGCCCGGATGATGGCTGCCCTCAAGGAGCAACTGCCAGACTTAGAGAAGATTGTCAAGCAAATGTAAGGAAGGGTTTGGCTCTGGGGGTGTGCGTTCATCAAGGAAGTGACTGCCTAACAATCAAAATATCTTCTAACAGGTCCTTTGCCCATGAGAAAGGTTAAACGTGGCCTTTCAGTAGCCACACAGAGTTCTGATTTGAGTGGGCCAAGCCCTGAGCATAGGTGGTGCAATAAAGCCCATGAACAGAAAGACAGACTGCTCAGCTGCGTTCGGTGTGGGAGGGCTGACAAGAGATGGCCTGGGAAGGAAAAGATCCTCCTTTGCAGAGTCCAACTTAATGAACTCTGGTCCCTGAGGTTCAAAGCAGTGAATCCAGCAAAAAAAAAAAAAAAAAAAGGGAGGGGCACTTAAAGAAAGTTTGGGGGCAATTAGACTGCTCAGCTGCGTTCGGTGTGGGAGGGCTGACAAGAGATGGCCTGGGAAGGAAAAGATCCTCCTTTGCAGAGTCCAACTTAATGAACTCTGGTCCCTGAGGTTCAAAGCAGTGAATCCAGCAAAAAAAAAAAAAAAAAAAAGGGCAGTGGCACTTAAAGAAAGTTTGAGGGCAATTACTAACATGGAAAATTCACTTTCTGCTGACAGAGCTGTGGATGGTGAATATTTGTGTCCTCTTGGTGAAAACAGAAGTTTTTCACATGATGTTAGTTGAGACATAGAGTAAATACTAGAGAGTGGCATGCTAGTAGATAGACTTTGAAAGCTGGAAATCCTGGCTTTTAACATCAGTTCTGCCAGGGATCTGCCTAAGATAAGAGCTAAAGTCGTTGCTGGCTCCCCATGCTTTGGTCCCTGAGTATAAAAATGAGGAGACTTATTTGCCTCCTGAAGGGATTCTGTGATTTCATTTCCTAACATAAGATTAAAGTTACATATGAGTAAAGCAATTCAAGATAATGTTAGCAGTGGTATTAAATAATGTGCTTTCTCTACTTCTCGTAGCTCAGAAGATGCAAAGACCCCACAAAAGAAGGTCAGTGGCATGGATTCGGGTTCTCTAATTGTCTGTGCCCTGTAGAATTACAATTCTCCAGATATGTTGTACTGTAGTAAATAAAAGTGGTTTCATTTTTGTAAACACAAAGTATGTTTTCCTTATTTTGTGCCTCTGATTGCTTCTCAGATGTGTTTCCTCTGAGTTGCTAATGTGCATTGGTCATTCTCTCTTATGGCTCATGCTGTGCTTATTATTTTTACAGCACAAAGTCCTTTTGCAACAGTTCAACACGAGTGATGAGAGAGCCCAGAGGCGCCAGCCTATCCGTGGCTCTGATGAGGGTGAGAATTCTCTTCCAGTTCATGGTTGCGTGGATTATTAGAGTCAGAATAAAATCTTCTCCCTGGGAATCATCACCTTGGACCCACAGAACAGCTTTCCTTAGCGGTGACCTTTTGCATTGCACATGGAAGGAACCCTTCTGCATTCCGCTTATCTGTGTTCTTGAACTCCTATGCCTGCAGCGGAGATGCTTGCCCACATTTCGCTGATTCTGCCTCTCCTGGACTGCCACCTTTCCTTGAGGGCAATGAAGGTGATCTCAGGGCCTAATTGTCAAGGTTGCCCATCTCTGGAAAGAGCTGGTGGAAAGGAAGCTGGCACTTGGTGGATGTCAAGGAGATGCCAGGGCCATGTGCAGAGCAGGGCTCCTGCCCAGGGAGAACCTCTGGCCCCAAACAGCCTCCTCAGCAGCTGTCAGGGAGGTTGTTTTAGATTTATCCAAAGAACCACAACCAAAAATAGTCATAATAATAATATAAAATTTTCACTGTAAGCCACAAACAAATCTTGTAATTTAGGAGTGCCTCTAAACCCAAGAATTACATTAGCTGGAATTGCTTCCAGGATTTCTGTATTCAAAGGTGAGCCTGTAGGTGCCATGTATGGGTCTGCTGAGCTAAATACTAGTGAAGCTATATGGTCCAGCCCCAAAGCACACAAAGGGAATGTATTTCCTGAAGCACATGAGCCGGAAAGTCAGTATATGCCCCAGGCAGAAGCTCTGCTGTTTATAGAGGTGTTAATGTTGGCTCCCCACTGCCACACAGGGGAACGGTAATCTAGTAATCAGCCACAATAGAGCACTTCCTGTACTATGAAAAAGAAAGGCTCAGAGAGAAGGGCAGACCCAGAATGTCAGCTCAAAGATAATTCCCGTTTTTTCCCATGACTTACTTGGGTTTTTCACAGATTTCTGCTGTGGTTGTTTTTTAACTGGGTTTGGCAGCCATATTGCTCCTGTTCTCAGACCAGTGCTAAGGTAAGCAGTTTCAGAAGGGAGCAGACATAGGCATAGACCATGCAAATAAATACAGTAGTAAGAAAGGAAAGGCGACACCAATTTGGGGGGATGTCTAAACATTTTGCATCACTTAGGGTTTTCTTAAGAACTCCCAAGACCAATTGACCACATCGTTACTGTCTTTGTGTAGTTTTGTTTAAGGTCTATTGCATGGACCACACCTACACAACCATTCGGGTGCCGGTGGCCGCCTCGGTGAAGGAAGTCCTCAGCGCAGTCACCGACAAACTGGGTTCCGGGGAAGGACTGATCATAGTCAAGATGAGTTCCGGAGGAGGTAACAGCCTTAACTAGTATTTGGGGCTTCTGCAAAATGGGACAACCTATCCAAACAGAAACATGCAAGGAGTTAGCGTGGCCTGTCCAGGCTGACCCAGAAGGGTGAATTTGTGCTGTGTGTGCCCCCACAAGTAACAGAAATAGTGCAGTTAGAGATGGGCTGGGTGAGTGTCTAACATCCCCTATCCTGTAGGTACCCACTCTACCTACTCTAAAACAGAAAGAGGTGAAGTAACTTACCTGAGGCAGCTGCACTTGTAGACTCTGGTGTGAACATCAGCCTGGAGTTCTTTCAGTGCAAACCCTAAACAAAAAAGCTTATGTCAGGAGGCCTGAGAAACATGAACCCAAAGAGGGAATTTAGCTTAAGCTAAAGGCCATCGTTTTCTGCAAGCCTGAAGTTGGAGGTGGTCAGAGGCTAGTTCTTTGCAGTTGAGGATGGTCCCCTCCTTGCCCAGTAGAGAGGGCAGGAGCCCTGCTCATCAAACAAAGTGAAGAATATTTCTCCCTCACCCCTGGATCACAGTTCCTTTCATTGTCCTTGATGACCGTATGCTTTCCTGAAATGTCATTTATTCATTTGTCATATATTTACTGGCCACTTAGTGTGGCTGTGACAGGAGAGGATGAGTTAGACACAGACCATGTTCCCAAGTTGCTCCCAGGCCAGGGAGGAGGTGGACAGTAAATAAATAATTACAATCTGTGCTGGCAAGAGTTTTGGGAATGGTCAGCCACGTTGCAGCGAGAGACTGGAGAAAGGAGTGGTCAGGTTAATTTCTTGGGTGATGATTTGATAGCATTGAGATGGGAGTGGAGGTCCTTCAGGAACCAATGAGTCATTTCTGCTGTGTTTTAAGACAAATGATTCCATTGATGTAGGATTTTAAAATACATGTTGGATTCCCAAGATCTCCTCTTCCATTTCTGTCCTGAATGAACAGAACCCAGGATGTCTGTCCTAACTGATCCCTCTGTCACATTCTTCCCATAGATCTCCCAGGTCCCTGACTTGCTTTGGGTCTTTACCCAAATGTCAGTGTCTCACTGAGGCCTCCCTCCTTTCTTCGCTTGATTCCCTTCCTGCAATTTTAACCTCTCGCCTTCCACGTACTTCCTAGCCTGCTTCCCTGCTGTGATTTTTCCTCAGCACTGCTCACTCTCTAATATATCGTGTTCATTGTCTGCATCCCCCACTCTGATGTAGGACTGGGACTTTTTTTCTGTATTTTTCCCTTCTGTCTCCCCAGTGCTTGGAGAGGCGTCTGGCATGTAGTAAATGCTAAACAAATAATGTATTGAATGAATTAATTTTTAAAATGTAGAAGACTTTAGTTACTGCTATTACTTTGCAAATTAGGGAATAAATGAAAAAACAATAATAGATTCTGCATCTAAAATCATGTGGGATCTCAGAAACCCCCTAAGTTTTCTAAAAGTGATCTTTCCTTCCCCAAAGAGCTGGGGTTATTAGCATGTAGAAACATAACTTGTTATATACGTATAAATAGCATGTGCAGTTTTTGTATACAATACAGTTGCATCACAGAACTGGGTGAATTGACCCTCAGGTATTTCCATTCCTGTTTTGTAGTCTTTCTGATGGCATCCTGAGTGTTGTGTGTCTGCATGGAAGCTATGTCTTTTTTATTCAGTGGGTCCCTTCAGTACTATATTTTATGCAGTCGCTCTGCGTGTTCCGGTAATTCACCAAGCTGGCAATTTGTTGGTGTGATTAGGGCAGTGCAGCAAATCTCAGATGTATTTAATAGGCAATCTCATGCTTTTTATGTTCACAGAAAAGGTGGTGCTCAAACCTAATGATGTTTCGGTATTTACGACGCTCACCATTAATGGACGCCTGTTTGCTTGCCCGCGAGAGCAATTCGATTCCTTGGTAGGTGTGGAGGGCCTCCTCGGAGCAGCATCTGCAATCAGAAAAACTTGTCTGGAGCTTAATTTTGCAGCCATATTGAACCTAGTTGCTAAAAAGTCTTGAATGCTACTTGGCTTTTTCTTTTTCTGTGGCCTATTAGGTAAGCCTCAGGTGCTCGTTTGAGATGCTCTGAGCTTTCGATTTCTTTTTGTGGAAATTAACCACATAGCACCACTACTGGTAGTAATTCAGCTTTCAGAACTCTTTGTTGTAATTCACCTCACTGAAATGGCCCCAGTTTAAATATTAATATTAAAAATCTGCATACTTAGACCAGCATGGAAATAACTCTTTTTTTCTAAAAACAACTTATTGCTGCTTAGCAGAAATGCATTACAGCAAAGCCACTATCCTGTCTAAAAGAAATGCTTTTCCCCAAAAGGGCTCTCTCTGCCTTGTGTAGGAAATGTCAGAGGCCAGACCCTTCCCTAAGTCTCCAAAACACTTTTTTGCAGCCACACAGAGCTTTCTATAAGTAAAGGACTAATTGGCGCACGCTAATAATTGAGTAGCCTGCTCTTTATTATGCAGGTAGCAGTATCCATTTCTATTTATCGTATAAAATTAGGCATGGAGGTGAGTAGCAATTACAGTATCTTAAGAAACCTATGGAGCCAGTTCAGAGGGTAGAGAAACTAGTTTTCTCAGTCTTTGGACACACAGGGCTTCTCTCGTAAGAAAAGTGCAACACGAGAGCCAGAGGTAAACTGCATCGAATTTTGGCAAGAGCGTTCAACTACGTAAGTGATGCGTGAATAGGTTTCAAGTTTAATCCAATCGGCCCTTATAGGTAAATCAAAATTCTCCTCCTTGGACTTTTTAGAGCTTGTTTAGCATCATCATAATCTAAGAACCAAGAACCATAATATCATCATAATCCTGATTTTCTGTTTTGAGGAGAGCCATTTTGTGCACGCTAGTGCAGTGAAGGAGATTTTTGCAATATCTTGAATTTATTTGAACTAACAGCGTTAGTTCTCTTACTAATCCCTCATCCGTCAGCCCACAATCACCATCCCCTTTCCTCAGCCACACCAGTGCTAAGAGGTCTGAATATGCTCACAGTCCTTTCCATATATTTTTTAATCATCGACATCCATTACTTTCTAACTAAATATTTCCCAGTTTAAAAGGATTGGAAAAAATTGTCATGGATGAGTCGTGCTGCCCTCTCCTGGAAAAGAAAGCTGTAAAAAGCCAGTGTAGCTGTAGCCCTATTGAAAGTACTGCATGACGCTTTTACCTCTCGGGCGCTTGGCCTCTTTTGCCAGCTGGTTCTTGGCTGCAGCGTGAACCGATGTGGCTTATAGATTGAGAGAGTGGACCACCTCCAGCCCCCTGTCAGGCAGATATTAACTTTCTGAGCCTCCGTTTATTTGCACACAATCCTGCAGCCTTCCAGGTTCTCAGTCCTTCTTATCTTCCATTTCAAGGCCTGAATAGTTGAAAGGAACTTATTTGCAACAAGTACCCCAGACAGGAGCTTGTTTTAGCTTCTTCCCTGTCAGCACCCTGCCATTCACTGTTCTTTGAGGACAGTCCTTCCGGGAAGAGTCGTGCAGAGGATGTCTTCAGTACAGAATGTTGGCCAAACCCTTTGATCTATCAACACATACTTATGAAGTATCTGCTTTGTGCTTGGTTCCGTGCTAGCATCCATGTGACTCTAGACCATGTGCCCGGAGCCTCTGTCCTTATGACAATTACGGTCAAGTTAGGGAGATGACACTAACACAAGCAGCCCGGAATAGAACAAGTTTTAGTGTTAAATCATGCTGTCTATAATTAATAGAGTGCCAGCAATTTATCCTAGTGGTTAAGAGCTCAGATTCTAGAGCTTTACTCTCTTTGATATTTTAAGTATAAATGTTAGTACAGAGCAAATTACGATAAAATCCCATTGTACTGTAATTTGGTTCTACTTTTATCCATTCACTGGTTCCTCAGACTTTTATTTAATGTCTACTACATCATTCTAGGCATTGTGAATGGTTCTGGCTCTGGAATGGTCTCCAAAACCATCACGGTCCTTGTATCTTAAGGGGCTCACAGTGTGAGAATCCAGTGTGACAAGTGACATTGCAGAGCTAGGTACAGAGGGCGTGGGAGCACAGGAAAGAGGGATGCTGGGGTGCAGCATCCACTAGCTGTCTCTTCATCACTGACAGCAGCACATCCTTTTTTGTCTTAATTTCCTCATCCAGAACAGAATTGAGGTTACAAGAGGTAGGAGCGGGAGAGGGGGAGGGGAAGGGGAAGGAAGGAACTGGTAAAGGGCTGTGAAAAGTGATTACATTGTATCAAGTTGAATATACTAATTACCCTGATTTGAGCATCACATGTTGCACACAGGTATTGATATTCAATGCTGTACCCCACAGATATGTACAATGAACTATATTTCAATTTAAAAAAAAGTCCTCCTCTAGAAAATGGGACAATCCTATTCTCCCAATCTCCAACATGCAGCCTTAACAAATTATCTCTTAAGATATTTTGATGGGGAGATCCATCGGAATTCTGTGTTTGTGCACAGGCAGTTTTCATATCTGTCTGCATTGCAGACCCTACATAAGCTCTGCTGTGCCTCATCTCTAGGAAGTATCCACAGGGATATCTATGAGAAAATGACCCCAGGAGCTCTTTCTCTGAGGTCCAGGGTCAGCATGTAACTTCCCCTCTTCAGAGAGAGAAGCACCCTTTGCTGCTTAGATTGCCTGTTTGTTGGGTGCATGGAGGATGAGGAGGGGTCAGCCTGCCCTTTGCCAAGGAGGAGGGAGGTGTGGCGAGCCCTGTCCACTCACGTATAAGTGGAGATTCAACAGAGCTTTCTGTTCTTCTCTCGAAAGGGGCGCAGGAGTGATAGACCAGCATCCATGGCTAGAGGAACTTTGCATATACTTTAGTATTGGAATCTTCCCTGTAGTTTTTGGGTTAATTTATCACTTTTATGAAGGGCCATAAGGCCTCAAGGAAGAGAGGTAGGGAACGAGGTAAACTGAGTCTTTCCAATCTTGAGGATAAAGGGAGCCCAAGGAATACAGCAAGAGGGGCAGCTCCACAGAGGAGCAGAGGGGCTGTGTTCCCAGTAGCAGCTGCAAGAGGGGGGCGGGGCATGGAGAGCCAGTTTGACCTTGAGGGCTGGTCCTGAGCCCTAGAATTTGAAAGCTTCCCCCCCTTTTCTACCCAAGACCTACCCCGGTTGAAACCATTCTCCTCCTTTGCTTCCATAAGCTACTCGCCCATCAGCTTCAGGTTGGTTCCCTAAGTTTTAAAACTTTGGAATCATTATTTTGCTTCCCTGTTCTCTGTTTCCTGCATAAAGTAAACTGGGAAATATTTATTTAGAAAGCAATGGATGTAGATGATTAAAAAATATATGGAAAGGACTGTGAGCAGATTCAGACCTCTTAGCACTGGTGGCTGAGGAAAGGGGACGGTGCTTGTGGGCTGATGGATGAGGAATTAGTAAGAGAACTAACGCTCTTCAAATAAATTCAAGATATTGCAAAAATCTCCTTCACTGCACTAGCAGTCAGCTCTCACATCTGGGTGTTGTACTGATCACACTTTCCTGGACATTTGCATTGCTACAGCTCTTCTAGAAAGTGAAATAATTTAGGGGAGTGCCAGGCACTATATTTACATGCTTCACTTAAATTATTCCTTGTCCTCTGAACAAGCCTAGGGATAGGTATTATGACCCCAACCCCTACCAGAGCTAGAAACAAACATTCAAGAGATAGGGAATCAATCCAAGTCTCCTTACTTAAAGTGGGGTTTATACTCAGTCTGTTGCTCTCTAAAGCTGGCACCTACCTGGTCTATTATCTGGTCTATTACAAAACCCAAACTCCTACTCCAGTACTCAAGGACTTTCTAAACCCTGTTGAAGCTGTCCATCCGGTCCCCTTGTGCTCTCTGTCCCTGACAAGCAAGACTCATGACAGCTTCCCACCTTCATGCCTTCCTTGCCATCATTCAACCTAAACGACCGTCCTGGATGCTCAGGGAAAACCCAACCAAGTCTGCCTGCTTCATCTTTTAAAACCCAACTTCTTTTTCTACAGGGATCTCTTTAGTCCACACATTCATTTCTCATACCCAGTAAGTTTCAAAAATCCCATTCATGTTGCCCCATCTGTCTGTCTCTGTATCTGGGAGTCACGTGTGTGGACACTTCTGTCTCTGTGTATGCAAATGAAGACCATGAGCTGACTGTTGATGTGTAGTGCTGTACTTGCTGGTCAGGGTTGACTCTTAGGCTGTAAACTTGGTTGGTCCTTTCTTAGACTGTAAACTTTCAAATGCAGGAACCACCTACACCTTGAACATATAATGTCTTTAGTGCCCAGAATGCAGTGGGCATTTATAGAATGCAGTAGTTATGGTGATGATGATGGAACTTGTATAATATTAGTACTTCTGACATGAATATTGAATATCAAAATGTGGTCAGCATCATATTGGGGAAATATCCTTTTCACTTTTTGACTTTCGTAACTTTGTAATGTATATATTGCCAATTTTATTTATAGATGTTAGTGTATTATACATACGTTTTCTACATATGCATATCATTCATCTTACTAAGTAAAAACACTTTAGATCATTTGTCATAAAATAAAAATGAGATAAGTAAGGCAGGTGGAAACTTTGAATGAAGGGTCTTCCAGTAAGTTGCAAAGTTCGGTCTTCTAATGTCCAAATACTGTGACCATGTGAACATCATTCTCAGCTCAACATCTCCCAGAGAGTAGAGGAATCACACATCATACATAATCTCCATTCACAGAGTGCTCTCTCACCTAGTCACCCAGGTAGTGTGTTGTAGGAGATGGGATGCAGCAACTTCACCATCGTCAACAGCAGTAGTAGGTAGCACTGTGGACAAACACACAAAACTGCCATGCCTGTACCTACTTTGGAACAGCATCAGCAGGAAATAGGAGAAAAAAGTCTCCAAGAACTTCTTCCATCTTTACCAGGGAAATGGAAGAGTTTCCAGGGATCTCTCACACCCGAGCAGAAGAGAACCTCCACAAGTCCCTCCTCACTAAATCTGACATGCTATAGTCCACATTTTCCAGTCAGTAGAATTGATTATAATGATGATAACTGTAAAGGTGACGCTGAAGAAAGTGAGCATTAAGAGCAAAGACAACTTTCTCCTCTGAGTAAAGTTTCAAGATATTGCTGAACGCATCTCCAGAATCCTTTCCCCTCAGGAGCTCCTGAAAGCATTCAGCAGTAAGTCTCATCTGTTGCGATTCTGATATATTTTTGCATTATTATTCATAGACTCCCTTACCAGAACAGGAAGGCCCAACTGTTGGAACAGTGGGAACTTTTGAACTGATGAGCTCCAAAGATTTAGCATACCAGATGACAATTTATGACTGGGAACTCTTCAACTGTGTGCATGAGGTAAGGTGCCCAATCGGGTGCAATTAGTAGGTACCGTAGCAATTCAGGATGGAGCTGGCTGGCACTGCTCAAGTGTAAGTCTTAATATGTGCTGCAGTATGGAAATCACATGATAAGTTTTTTGCATATTGAGTTTATAATAAAGTCTGTTATAAATCCTTTGAGTATTAAAGAAAAATCTTTAAGATTTTTATCATGTCAGGATAAAAAGGCATACGTGCCTTGTCTTCCTGAGTTTATTGAGCCAATAGCATCTAGCTTATATATTTATATATGTATTTAACAAGCCTCATGGAAGCCCTTCAAATCTGTAGGACCAGTTGCATCCCAGTCAGTGACTGAATTCACATGTGCCAACCCATAAAACACTGTCTTGACAAGTAGAAAAACTTAGCTGGTGTTTTGATTTAAAAACCAACAAATAAGTGAAATTGGTTTCCTTTCTTTTCTAGCTGGAGTTAATCTATCACACATTTGGAAGGCATAATTTTAAAAAGACCACAGCAAACTTGGATTTGTTCCTGAGAAGATTTAATGAAATTCAGTTTTGGGTTGTCACTGAGATTTGCCTTTGTTCCCAGCTCAGCAAGCGTGTTCAGCTTTTAAAAAAATTTATTAAGATAGCAGCCCAGTAAGTATCTTTAGCTTGGAAAGAGAAAAAACTTTTTGAGGTGTGTTTTCATTTTGTTTCTTTAGACTACATCTTAAAAAGAAAGGCAGGATATGAGAACTGCTTTTGCACAAGGACCAACCACAGGGGCCCAAGAATAACTGAACTCTTGTAAAAGATGGATTTCTTCTAGCTTTTGTAGTATTTGACATCAATATATAAATTAACACCTTAGAAAACTGATGCTAGAGTCAAAATTTGACCTCTTTGTGCTCAAAACTACTCAGACTTTGGCCTCCTTCAATTTAAAGAATGCTTTAGCAAACAAAGTTTCAGTAGAAAGTTCTGTTCAGAAGGCTCTTCAAGTCGAATTCCATCATGACACATTCTCGACAGTAGAGGGCAGTGGAACATGCATATATGACAGCCCATCTGCCTCAGCCAGAGTAAAATCAGTAAAATGCGTAAAGGCAGCCTGGTACATGAAAATCATCTCCATAAACATCAGAAAAAGCAAGCATCTTATAAATATTCTATTTAGCAGCACTTCGTGGGAAACAATTTATTTACTGCAGGGGCCAGTTAGATTTCTCCCTGACATGAATTTAATCTTCTCCTGCTATTTAGATATGCCTGACAACCTCCTGTTTACTTCCATGTTTTTGGTATCACCACAGTGCTAAAAATAAAATGCTAAATGTGGCCTGTGGCTGTGAGACTCCTTTCCTTTCTAAATGCAGGGAGCTCTAGCAAGGAAGGTTAGGAGTACAAGTGACCCCAGCTAGGCAATTTTCTTGAGCCAAACACTTTAGATCCCATACAGAGTCTGATTTCCAGGGCTGAACAAAGAGGTAATGGCTGCTTGAAATTTTATAGATATCAGCTTGCCAAATCCCTTGAATTATTTTGCCAAAAATTTGAGGGTTCATCAGAATACCAAATCCCTTGGATTCAAATGCTGATATCTCTTAATTTAGAAAAGCTGGCTATTTGAAGAAATATTTGGTAAAATATTGCTTATGTATTTCTGGTTCAGCCACTTTCCCTAGGAGCCTGAACAGCCTTATTGCAAGGGACAAATGACTTCACATATTTGGAATGAGTTGATTATGGAAACTATGACAATATGTGCTTTCCCATTATAAGGAGCACATTCTCTCTTCACCTTAGCCTGGTAGTACCAAATATAACAAGGATAAGAGAGAGGCAATCTGCACGCAAATGTGGGAGATCAGAAAACCATTTTGGGCTTAATACTGTTATTTTACAGAGGCAACATAAGAGAGCCTTTTGAAAAACCCAGGAATTTTTTAAAATTTTTTTGTCTTATCCCTTTCTTCCTGATTATGTGAATGAGTAGGTGCACTTGACCTTCAGTATAGATTAATTTATATTATTTAACCATTATGAAGCCCTGCGCTGAGCTTGCTGTCCTGTAGTGGAGCTGTTTACACAGCCCAGCTGGAGGGGATTGTAGACTTCCATAAATCCAAGATCCACAAGAATAAGATCAAAACCTAGTGGCAGTAACATCTGTTTTACTTGTTTTTGGAGAACTTCAACATATTCTGTTTAAGCTCCTTGCCCTGCCAAGAACTTTGTGAAGTTGGGGGGGGGGGGGGCAGATATTATTATCCTTTTGTTTACATATGGGGAGACTGAAGCATAGAGAAATTTCAGATTTACGTAGGATGATAAAGTTAGTTGGTAACAGAGCAGTAACCAGAAAGGCAGGGCTGCAGTCCTGCATTTATTCTTTCAAGATTATGTACACAAAACAAAGGCAAATACATGTACATGATACTTACTGCCTTCAGCACTGGGTATCTCCTAAATACCTTTCAGCCCCTGACCTAGGAGCCACTGGCCCAACAAAGTAAAGGGCTTGCTTATGTTCTCTCCCCGTGGGACCAGATACACTATGGCTTCCCTGAAATATTTTCTCCCTTTCCCACACAGACAATTTAAGAATTAGTCATTGCTACCTTTGCAAGGAGAACATGGTAGCAAATGCAACAATTTAATTAGCCTTTACAAAAATGTTAACCCAAACAGGATTTAATTATAATGTAGTCAACTTAAATAACAGTATTGATTTGGGGTAAAAGATTTGTGCTTATCGCAAAATGAATTCTTTCCCTCTATAGAGATTTGGTATGAAGAACTTGAGGGTTCCTTGTTCCACATATTTCATTCTCACATATACATTCACAAAAGCAATAGTGGTGCAAGTACACATTCAAAATGATCAGCTTCACTGATATCAGTAAAACACAGAAAGTAAGGGGTTTGGGCGTCAATTACTTAGGTTATTTCTTAGCTTCAAAACTCCTTGAGATTAAGTGTCCAGCCCATGGGTATCACACCTTGTGAGTTGGTATTTTCCAACAGATTAGAAGCGTTTGGATGGCAGGTGGAAGGTATCGTGACTGCACAGTGTGACTTAGTTTCCTCCCAAGCTCCAAGGGAGAGTGTCCCCTTCAGGCTAAAGGTCTGGAAGTCTCCAAGGTCATTTCGCTTTTGCTCTTCCCTTCCCATGAGACGTTTCCCTCCAGGTCTGACAAGGCTCTTGGCAAGTTTGGGATTGTAATAATCTTCAGGTAGGTTTCTTTAAATTCCTTCTCTAAACCCAAACCTCAGTGGTCAAACCCATCAACTTTCTAAAATTACAGTGAGAAATCAAACAGTAGAACATGTTTACCAAGCAGAACTTGCACAGTGCATTAAATCTATCATTGCCTCTTCTCATAAAGGAGTCCTGACGCATATTAATGACTATCAGAAAATAGAACTCTAATTTTTTTTTATCTGACTCAAAAGTGGCATTTTACTCAAACACATGGCTCTTGTGTTTCAGCTGTAAGGAGTACAAAAATCTGAATTCCTTTTTTGCCATCGTCATGGGACTAAGTAACGTCGCTGTGAGCCGTTTGGCACTAACGTGGGAGGTAAGCTGCAGCTGAGATCCAGCTGTGACTTTTGCCTTAAGAATAAAAACACAGGCTCACCAGTGAGCTTTTTTATAGAAATATCACTCACACTGGTGTAACAATGGAAAAGGTGGGACACTTAGAGGGAGGTGACCTGTCTCCTTTTTTCAGTTGTCTCAGAGTAAGAATTTAAAAAGATATTGTCCTTTTGTTGTGTGTTTGGTGCGGAGGAGCAGTGGGGAATGGGAATGGAGGGATTTCAGATTCTCAATCTACACAATGTAAATAGTAAGTTCAGTTCCTAGATATAACATGAAGGAAGAGCATTGCTTGGATGACTTCAGAAGTTTTGCTCATAGATTCTATTGTTCTCTGAAATGTCTGCTTATTGCTTTTCAAATAAGTCTTATCTCTGATTGAGAGAGGACAAAAGATCCATTTTTATCCAAGTAGTCATTTTGCTCCTGGGAGAAATAGCCAGGAGCCCAACTGTCTGGAGCAGCTGAGTACGGTGTCTCTTCACCACCTGGCAGACTTCTGTGTGTAGAGAAACAACAGTTAGCTAGTATTCAGTTTGGGGCAAAAGTTACGCAGGTGTGTTGTGAATTTCTGTAGCACGTATAATGAGGAGTTTGTTGATAGCTGGTTATTCAAGCTAGAAAACATCGTTGTTTATCATTAGCTTAGTACTCAAAATGTGCTTGTCCTCTTATGTGTGCCATATAGTTGAAGAAATACTAATCTCTAATAGAACATACACACAAAAATAGACACTTACTAAAAATAAAAAAGTATGTGTAAGTGGGACACAAAAAGAGGGCAAGGAGTATGTAATAGAGACTCGATCCACCAAGATGTTTAAAGACAGCTGTTTGCATCTCTGAATATTTTCCTTGAAATTATTTTCTTCCCCATTTCCCTTTTGAGACTATTTTCTTTCTCTGTCCCTCCTAAATGTTTCCATTGTTTATAGGGCAGGTCTTCACAAGTCCTTCTGTCTTGGGTTTCTCTTAAAATTCCAGGCAGATGCAGCACATGGCAGCTCATCCCCTGAATATAGGAATGAGGGAATTGGTGAGGCCTTTGTGCCACGCAGCTGTATCATCTTCCAGCTAGCAAAGGACAGGGTCAGTGCTGCCAATCCATCTAAGCGATGACACCATAGAGCAGCTCCCCTGCCTTGGAATGTCTGGAGACTTAGAGTTCCCACTCCAACAATCTGTCTTTCTCAACCTGCTTCAAGCTTCTCATCCCCCCCAAGTAGTCCAAGTGAGTTGGTTGGGAAAATCAGAAAAGGCATAAAGCCTTCTCATAGGGATCCGAGGAGGCCAAGTGTAGGTGCTACATAATAGCAGCCAGACATTAAGGTCATGTGGGAAACACTATCTGAGTCCCCTTTCCTGGTCTAAAGAGAAAAATGGGAGGCTGCTTGGGAGGTGCAGTCAGCCAAAAGAGGTAGCCAGTTGGCCAGTTCTTCGTGTTCACTGGAGACAGAGGTATTATGAGTCTATGAGCTTCTGTTTTCATCACTGTACGTTGCTGAGAAGAGAAGATTAAACTTTCATCATTTATAAGCCTTTATTTTTTAAGGTTCAATGTAATTACATAATTCTGTAGGAAGAGCTTTCATTCATAAGCATCTTTGATTTTGATTTACTGACCTGTATTTCCCGAGAATCTCACAAGGGCTTCCCATACAACTGCAGCGAGTACCGTGGTGGCCACATGAGTGGAGTGAGAAATGGTGCCTGACCTCAAGGAACTACAGAGCATGTGTGAAACAGTCAATGAACAAAATAGAAAATAAAGCTGAACCACATGGTAAACAGGAGGGTTCAAAATAGAGGGGAAAAGCCAATCTGAGGTGAAGCAAATGAGAGTGAAAATCTCGAGCAGTCTCTCAGCCTCATCACTGTTGACACTTGGGGCAGGACCGTTCTTCATGGTGGAGGGCTGTCCTCTGCATCGTAGGATGCTTAGCAGCATCCCAGGCCTCCACCCACCATATATTATTAACACTTCTTAAGACACCTCAGCCCAGTTGTAACAACAAAAAATTGTCTGCAGACACTACCAAATAAATGTCGCTGGGTTGGCAGAATGGCCCTTGTTGAGAACACTGCACGGGGTGTAGGTAGAGAACAGTACTCAGAAACACACATTTTTTATTACCATATACTCTATTACCTTTGACTTAAAATCCAGCTGAGGAAAGAAAGAGACCTAGAATGACAGAGGTCTAAACAAAAGTATAATTCACTCTTAATAGGAAAAATGGACTATGTTCACAGAAAGTAAAAGTATAATTCACTCTTAATAGGAAAAATGGACTATGTTCACAGAAAGTTACTGCCTAACAGGGTGATTTGGACACTCCATGTGGGATGAGATCCTTGCATCCCTTGGTGCCCATCCCAGCTTCCAGCCCTTTGAATATTCATCAAGTTTACCAGAAATCTAGCTTGAAAACAGGCACTAGAAAAATGTTTGGAGGATATGTAGAAAACAAGTTGCTAGAAACAAAGTAAGATTTTTTACAAATATTTAATGGGCCTATGGCAAATTGATTCATATGAAAGAGAAAAAGGCTGGAGGAGCTCTTCTGTGGATTGCAGAGCCCTCGTTGGTGAATCAGCCACTGAAGTTCGACTTACCGTGCAGAGCTGAACAGAGCTGGGAATCTGGGAGGCCCAGGACTTGGTCAGTGCTTGCATGGTCCCAGCATGGGAAACATCACACAGCACTATCTTGGTTTGGCCCTGTCTAAAGAAAAGTTCAGCTTTACTAAAAACTCAGAACCTAAGAAGCGAAGAGGGAACCAGTGATTAGAAAGATGCTTCCATTTTGACCCACTGTTGCAGACATGCGAGTGCAGTAAGTGGTGCTGAGTTATGTGCCAGATGCAAACAGGGGACATGGATAGATTGATGGAGCTATCGAACGGTGTACTATAGCCAGGCAGAGGAATTATGTGGGAGGAACACACATGTGCAGAGCGTGGAGCATGTACGAGAGGGAGTGGACAAGGCGACAGGCAATGGGGATCCCAGAGCCCCAAGGATAACCAGCTGGATGACTTTGGGCCGGTCATTTAAACTGTGAGACTAATTTCTTCCATCTGTAAAACACAGGTTTAATCTATTCAAATGAATGTTTATTGAGCACCTACTACGTACCCAGCTCTTTTAGGCACTGAGGAAATAGCAGTAAAGAAAACTAATAAAATCTCTGTTCTCATATAATTTACGTTGTAAGGGAGGAAGAAGGTTGAAATAGTTTCTAAAGCTCTTTTAATCCTAATATTCTTTAGTCTAAATTCCTGACTGTAGAAATCAGAGTGGGAAACCTGATGATGGGATGACAAGGCTGGGTGTACTAGGAAGTCAGAGTGTATATATGTCACGTGTCACTGACCAGCATCTCTCTGTCTCTCCCAAGGATCCTTCGAGAAACCACAGGGCCTACAGGCTGACAGTAGCTAAGCTGGAGCCACCTCTCATCCCCTTCATGCCTTTGCTCATTAAAGGTAACCCTAAGAAAATGCACAGACCAAGCAAGTGATGAGTGCCTGGGGAAGAAAAATGAGCACTACCCTGATCAGATTGCTCTCTTTGGGAAGAATGATCCCATTCCTCCCCCTTCTTTGCCATTGCCTCTCAGCGACTCTTCTGAGAGGGTTAGGAGGACGATTAGAGGAGCAGTGACCCATAATTTGGAAGACTTGTTAGTGAAACAAGCTTAGTTTAGAAATTTTACTAATCTCAGGTAAAGTGATTTAGAAAGTTAAACACCTAACATAAAAGGAACTGTTATAGCTTTTTCAACTGCAGTGTTATGCAAATCCATCAGCATAATCTAATGGTGCTATTGTGCTTTCTTATATGACATATTTCGGTTAGTGATTAGAATGTGGCTTTTATTTCTTTACAGATATGACATTTACTCATGAGGGAAACAAGACGTTCACTGACAATCTAGTAAACTTTGAAAAAATGGTACGTGCAGTATTATAACCTTAACCACAATGTTTTTTTAAAATAAAATTTGCATTTGTACTAATAAAAGAAATAATTTCCATACATGCTGCCATGTTAAAAAGGTAGCTACACATAAAGGAGTTTTGAAATATTTGGTTCAAATTGGCTACCTATTTTATTCTGTCAGTTCTCTTTTGTGAAATGGAATAGTATTTATGCTGAGGCTCACAGCAGCAGCTAGCTTTTATGCTATGTGTTTCGTCCGTGGCTGCCTGTTGGTAAAATGCACGAATGTTCCAGACTCACTTCCATGTTGTTGTTTTGTTGCAAGGTGTGTGGAGCTAGACTGCCCCAGGATGCCTTTGAAATGTTTATCTGCCCTACCTGACTTTAGTGCATGTAAATGAAAGGCATCTGACTTCCATGTTGTTGTTTTGTTGCAAGGTGTGTGGAGCTAGACTGCTCCAGGATGCCTTTGAAATGTTTATCTGCCCTACCTGACTTTAGTGCATGTAAATGAAAGGCAACTCTATAGCAGATGTTTATTATGGAGTGTTATCTAAATGTGTATTGCTTATCCCAGTAAAGTTCACCCAAGTCTAGAGAGGGAACTTGAAAATCTTCATAACCAAAAAGATTTTTTTAATAGCAAATGTGGAACTGGCACATATTTAGCATTTTCCAGCCACCCTCCTACCCCAACTCCACAAAAAAAAAGCATGTTAACTGGCATTAGTTACTTTGCAGTTTATTTTCTTATCTTCTGTGGAGCAGTAAAGCAAGCCATGCCAAAACCTGTCTTTAGCAACATAGTGCATGTTAATGGAATGCTCCATTGTCTTGCCAGTCATTTGGCTGCTGCCCGGATGGATGGAGGGGTACAGTGTTTTATCTCCATGTGGGCGAGCATTTGCCCAGGGTTATGATTTGCAGTATGAATGTGGCCACTGTAGGAAAGCCCAGGACTTGGAGTTCAGGAGACATGAGGTTTTGTACTCAGTTTCGTCACTTCGCAGCTGTCCTTCTACTTTTCTGTGGGTTGGTTTCCCCAGCAGAAAATGGGGATTACGCCTGCTCCATCTATGTCTGGATTGTTGGTAGATCCATGGTATATAATTGTTCCTGTAAGCCATAAAGTGCTATAGAATTCTTAACAGAAAAATGTTATTCTAATTGTTTCTTGAAATTAAGCTAGTATGTGTGACTCCAGGAGAATTTGAAACACCCTGCAGTAATCCTATAGGGATCAGCACCATTCAGCCTTGAGAATGAGCTTATTGCAAAGCCCAGCCTCATAAAGACTATTGCATGGCACTAGGTTCCCATGTCCTAAGCTTCTTAGGAAATAGCACATGAGTACACACTCCTCAAAGACAGTCTATACCAGAGGGCAAATATTTTCTCAGCAGTCTTCCTCCCCAGCCCCCACACCAAAGGCAGGGTATGAACATCCCTATTACTGTGTCAGTTTAATAATTTTTGATCAAAGTAAAAAACAGTCTTTGCTCACTTATTAGTATGGAGAATTAGACAATTTCCCTGATTTCTGAAAATAAAATCTGTTTTCCAGAAATGAAAGGTTTAGCAAATGGGTAAAGACCCTTCTGGATCACTTAGGCAGAAATGCAGACTGAGGGTGGCTAAGCCAACCATTTAACTATAAAATACACAAGTGCACAGGATGTATAAGTCAGGCTTTCCTAGATGGTTGATTGAGCTTTAGAACCTTTGATCAGAAAAGTTAAATAAGCAGGACAAATAAGAACAGTGAAGTATGCAAATCCAGCCAACTCTCAGGGAGGATGAAAGATGTTTCGTCGGGTTTTTAGATCTTGGTGTCTCATCCATAACCTGTGAAGGAATAGTCAAGATCACATTCAGTGGATACTGCAAGAGTCCCCCCTTCGCATTTCTGCACTTCATGCCCACAGCAGTGTGTTCTGGGCTTAGTGGTGAGGAAAGAGGTCCTTCACACCCTGCTCTCAGAGAGTTCACTTTTGCTTAAAAGTGACTGAATAAGGGCCGAGCCCATGGCGCACTCGGGAGAGTGGGGCGCTGGGAGCGCAGCAGCGCTACCGCCGCGGGTTCAGATCCTATATAGGAATGGCCGGTGCACTCACTGGCTGAGCGCGGTGCAGCTGGTCTCAAAAAAAAAAAAAAAAAAAAAGTGACTGAATAAATAGCTAGGGTAGTATTTCAGCTGCAGTAATGGAAACCTAAATTAATTATGGCTTAAGCAAGATGAGTGTCTTTTTTTCTCACTTAAGAGTCCAAGCAGGTATGACAGCTGTGCTCCAGGAAGCGGTCAAGGTTCCAGGCTTCCTCTCTTTCGGATCCTGTATAGGAATGGCCAGTGTGCTCACTGGCTGAGCATGGTGCGGCTGGTCTCAAAAAAAAAAAAAAGTGACTGAATAAATAGCTAGGGTAGTATTTCAGCTGCAGTAATGGAAACCTAAATTAATTATGGCTTAAGCAAGATGAGTGTCTTTTTTTCTCACTTAAGAGTCCAAGCAGGTATGACAGCTGTGCTCCAGGAAGCGGTCAAGGTTCCAGGCTTCCTCTCTGTTGCCATTTGACCACCCATATGGTCCACAACGGCAACTACCACGTTCCCATTCCAGCCAGAGGGAAGGGGAAGGAGAAGGTGAAGGCGTGCTTCTTCACTTTAGGGATATAACCTGGAAGTTGCACTCACACTTATTGGCCAGAAACTCAGTCACATGAAAGGAAGGCTAGAAAATGTAGCCCTTATTTGGGGTATCCACATGCTCCACTAAAAATTAGGAGATTCCATTACTGTGAAAGAGAGGGGAAAGAGGATTAAAGAAGTACTGCTAGTTCTCTGCTTCAGCAACTTTATAAATTTTATTTCTTTTGACAAGTCATACCACGAGAAAATTTGATTTTAGAATTGACCTCCTATGAGTTAGATGTTACTGGAAAATAAAATGGAATTTCAAAAATACTTGATTATGTTTTCTCGACCTGTCTTTGACCAATAACCAATCTGACACTTGTTACCAACTTTCCAACGTTTTCTCCTCATAAATTAGCCCAGCTTGTCCCCATAGCACCACTACCACTACCACTGGTGGCTGCTGCTATTACTATGCGTTTTGGCGAAGTATACATCTTCCTTTTCAGGTCGATGTCAGTGCTGTTTCCCAGTCATCCATCAACAAGGCCCAGGTGTCGAGCAGAGCTGGCAGCCTTTGTGAGACTGGTGGGCTGTGTCCCCATTGGGAGCCCCTGCCAGGGGCAGAAGTCTCCAGGGTAGCTAGAAACAGATGCCTCTTCTTGGTGGCAGCATTGTGCAGTCACAGCAAACTGCTATGCCAACCCTAAGTATTTTTATTTTGAACTTCTTTACCCTTGAGGTATGAAATGAGGATTAGAGAATTTGTTGCTTATTGGTTTTCAGGATTTATGGGTATGAACAAAAGAGAATTCACACTCTGATCCTTATGAAAAAAAAAAGGCAGACATTCTTTCATTTGGGGGGAACATAAAGGAGTATTCAAAAAAATGTTTGCAGAAAGCCCTGCATAGCTTTCTATGGCATACATGAATATTTATAACATTTAGGAGGTAGACTAGCAATGGATTAGAGGATAATATGCTGGCCGGCTGCCACTATCACAGGCTGCATAAAACATGCTGATAGGCACAGTCACTACTGTATTAGGAGGTTGGTTCTATTTCAAACATACCCTTATTTAGGTATATTTATTTATAAATATGATTTTTAAGGTAGTCAATTTGTAATGAGAAACATGGGGAAAACGTCTATACTTCTGGAAACATTAACAAAGCTAATTTATTAAGAAAGAGAAATGTTTTGAATCCTTTTATTTTTGTATCACTATGCATATCATTATGTAATTAGCAGCAATATGTTTTCTAACACCAGTAGTACTATTTCAGGATTCATGGAGAGAATAGCACTTGTTATCACAAACTATGGAAAACAGAACCTCTAAGTAAAAAATATAAATGTTCGAATCCAGCCAATTCCCAGATCTCCCCAACATAAGGGAAATCTACAGGAGTACTTTGAAAGTTTACTTCTTTATATAGATTTCACAAACCAAGCTAAATGCAGATTTTCCAACGGGTATGCTTCAAAGCATTACAACATGTGTAGAGTGTTCAGGCAAAGGATTTTAATAGGAAATGTAAAGATATCTAGATATCTTTGGCTTCTAGGAAATTACAGGGAGTTGAGAAGATAAAACATAAACACATGAAATATTAAAAGTCAACCAAAAAATCAGCAAAAGACTAGGTCACAATAGTAATAAAAGAGATGTGAAGAAGCAAAATACAGGAGAGATAACTTCGTGCAGATGGATCAGTGGGATATAAAACCGTGGTATATACCATAACATAATACGATCCAGACTTCTCCTAAGTACCTGTCCAGCATATGTCACACTTTCTCTTTTCTGTACTCAGTTGGTGGGACGAGCCTTCTTTCTTTTTCTGCCAGCCTCAGGGCCTTTGCACTGGATGTTACCTGTGCCTGGAATGTTCTTCACCCCAGACTTCACCTGTCTGGCCCCTTCTCATTATTCAGGGCTCAGCTCGTGTCCCCTCCTCTGAGGGGTCTTCCCTGACTACCCTTCTAACACTGCTGCTCCACACCCAGCAGGTTGTCTGACAGATAACCTTGCTTTGATAGCTGGTTTCATGCCTGAGATGAGCTTCTTCACTGGCTTCTTCATTGTCTGTCTTTTCCACTAGAATGTAAGTGCCCTGGACTAGGTGTCTTATCTATTTGTCCACTGATATTTTGCCAGCACCCATAAAGATGTCTGGCACATTGTAAAGATGCAAGAAATATTTGCTGAATAAAAGAATACCCAAATTATATTCCAGTGATGGACTTAATGGGGTAGAACAGTGCAGAAATTTAACCCAAAAGTGTGTTTTATTTTATTAGAAAATTTGATTAACCAGGATATCCCAAAGCATTTTGCATAACTGAGACTTTACACAAGACGACTTTCCCTTTACCT